TTCTTCTCTTGAAATAACTAACCAGTGTATCCCAAAAGTGGGAACCACAGCTCATAATGGGTAGTTCTCCATAAGTGTGACCAATATAATGTCTCAGGCTCTGTTTTCAAATATGGATCCAGTGGCTGGAGGTCAGTGCTCTTTGGTTGGTCTCTTGAATTTAAAATCAATTGATCTTTTTAAATTTATCATCTATGAGTAATGTACGGTATGAAATTAAAGCAGGTGCTGGGGACTTGGAGCCCAATTCACTCACATTCATGCCTCTTGTGCTCTTTACACATTTCTTAGACACTTGCTACCCTATGGAAGTCTAGCAAGTGCATATTTCTGACTCCAATCGTGTCTAAAACTGTGTCTAGCACACATGTGCTTCGGTGTATATTTATACATCATGGTATTTCCTGGCTTTGTTTTGTTTTGTTTTGTTTGTCTTTTTTGAGACCAGGTCTCACTAGGCACTTCAGGCTGGCCTTGAGCTCGCTTTGTAGCCCAGGCTGGACTCAAACTTGCAATGATCTTCTTGCCTCAGCCTCCCCAATGCTGGGATTACAGGTGTGAACCAACATGCCTAGCCTCCCTGTTTTTTCTTCTTTTCTTCTTTTCTCATTATTCTATTTCCATTATTATTGTTCAGTAACCAGTAGAGCTATGGAAACTGTCCAAGTTTCAACTTTTGAACTCTTCAGCTTTAGTTTATGAGCTGATAAAGAAATTGTAGCATCTATACACAATGGAACATAATTTACCCATAAATAAAATGGGAATCATATCATTTACAGGAAAAATGGATGAAACTGGAGGCAATCAGGCTAAGTGAAATAAGTTAGAATCAAAGAGACAAATATCAGTGTATTCCCTCACATATGGAGTATCAAAGGAAGAAATGATGCCGTGGCTAATAGGCAGGCTATTAGGGAAAAGGAACTGAAGCCCAAGGTAACACTGGGAAGTTGCAAATGATCACCATAAGTTAAGTGCAATTATAAATGTGTCAAAAAGAAAACCAGTACTCTGAAAAAACACAAACACAGAATAACTCCCTTTACATTGACAATGTCAATATATATCATGTCTAATGTCCAGGGTGTTACAGTCATCTGTTTATTCTGAACTTGAATGTTTAAGAGGCACAGCAAACATAATATAGTCAAGAGAATTAAAAAGTGAATGCCTTTTTGGTAAATGCAACTCATTATATGTTGTTTAAATGTTAAAAAGTAAGTATTTACTCTCCACTATTGGGACCCTTTTACTTCTTTCATATCCTTCCATAAAACTTATCTCTATAACCAATATGTTTTAATTTATTCAAATTTGAATCTTTAGTACAGTTATTTTGTATTTGCTGTACAATATTTTAGTCTCTTATCTTATTATTTCCACAGTTGTTTCATTTGAGTTTTCTTTTTTGGTTTTTTTCAGACCTGGTATCACTATGCCATACAGGCTGGCCTTGAACTCCCTCTGTAGCTGAGACCAGCCTCAGATTCTAGATCCTCCTTCCTCAGCCTCCTAAAGGACATTGACAATTGTACTCATTCCATGGCTTACAAAGTAATCAAATCCAAGATCCTTTATCCTGGTATGGAAAAGGAAAGTGGAGATGTGCATCTGCTCTGTCTCCACTCCTGTTTCCCCTCACCCCTTCCTTCTCATGACCCAAGTCCCCTACATCACTTCTTCAGCAGCTGTACTCTTTCTGATCACAGAGGGTACATTGCTGTCCTTATTCACCAGAACCACAAGCCTTCTGGGATGAAAGCCTAAAACTCAGCCTTGTAGCCTTGTGTGACCCTCACTTGTCTTCCCAGTTACTGTCTACTCTTTGAGGAAATGGGGTTCTAACCTCACAGGAAGCGAAGTCTAAAGTAGATTAAAGTTACTTGACAAGTTTCCTCAATTAGCAATTTTCAGAAGTGAGATAAGAGGATAAGGCAATTTGCATCTGGTTTGTATAAGCAGTCACTTGGCAAGTGATGACGAGTTCTAGTCTCCACCTCTTGATTTCAGTCAGTTTCCCCTTGGGACAAAAGTTCTCCCTTGGAATGGCATGACAGACCTCAATGTGATTCCATATTTCATGCCACAACTATATTAAATATTGAATTGATGGGGAAGTGGCACACCATTGAGATGATAAAACCCCCTTTGTGTAGTCCCTAGCCTATCTAACATGGGATGTGAACATCCCATCTTCCTTGAATTCAGGAAAAAAGAGCCCAGAAACATTCCATGCTCCATATTGAAAATGTTTAAGGCTGTTGCAGAATTTAAAAATAATTACTCCTGAAATAAGATAATCCTAATTTTTAGAATCTGTTCCCAGAGTTAGGTCATGAGTTGTCTATGTCTGTTAACACTGAATTGCACAAGAAATGGTAACTGTGATCTCTGCTTTGCGGTCCCCACCATCCCCATGGTGTTCAAATGCCTCACCCGAGGTTGTAACCAGAGTACAAAGTGCCCGGCTGGTAAGCAATGGCAGGCAAGTGGAGTTTAGGAGACTACAAAGGGAGATGTGCTGTGTTCTCCAAGTGTCTGTGTGAGTGATTAAATACCCTTCTGCATCATCTGAGCACAGGGACAAGAGTAGTCAATGACATAAAAGTGGGAAATAGCAAAAACTTTCAGATAGTAGAAATAACTATACAAGGAATAAGTATAAGAATGTGTTGGCATAATCTGGTACTCACGTGAGCAAATTCTGGCTTCAGTGTTTCTCAAAAGGTCTCATTTAATCTCTCTGTGAAACTCCAGTATTCTTTTACAAATTTACTATTTTCTCTGGTCACTGCATTCCTTCATTAATCTGAATTTCATCCAGTTACCTTTCTATCAATACTTTTTTGTGTTTTCTGATTATTTCTCATTATTCACAATATTTCTGATTATTTATCTGATTATGTCTCCTTTAATTTTATATAACATAGTTTAAATTTCGTATATGTGATCCCAGCCCAATCCTATGTTTCTTCATGCAGAGAAGACAATACTGAAATTACCCTAAACCATTCAGAAATATCAATCACTAGTCATAACCTAGTAAAATACAAGAGAAACTTTTGACACTGTCTTTTTCTTGAGCCACCCTTTTCAATGGTGAAATTTCTAAGAATGTAACACACTTTCATGGTAAACACTTGTTTGTTTGGTTTTTTTGTTTTTCTTCCTGTACCAGGAATCGAACTCACGACCTTGCGCTTGCCAGGCAAGCGCATTGCCGCTGAGCTAAATCCCCAATCCCCAGGGTAAACACTTAAAAGCAATGGTAATCAGTTGCCTTGAACTGTAACCATAAACAGCATCAAAATATTTATACACAGATAAAGTAAGGATTAGATTTTAATGTCAACCAAATCCTCTTAAAAGCTACATGGCAAACTGAGATATTTAAGAACAAAGTTCACAAAACTTTTTACTTTTGTATATTCTTAGGATTACAATAGCCAGTACCAGTAATATATTTTTTCAAAGATCCATCTTTATTCAGCAATGTCATAAAACAAGAATTCTCCAATGTAAGCATTTCATTTCATAGATGAATAAACTTAGCATCAGAAAAGTAATATCATTTTCTACATATTTTTTATTTCTTTCTTGGTATACCTCTTTTTTTCTCTTGATGCAGTATTACTTTACATTGTCTAATTAGCTCAGTTAATTTTTGTTGTCTCCTTCTTCTGCTGGGGATCTACTATTTCTTAAAGAACTTGCTTAAGATCAAAGTTGTAACATACACATCCAAGATGCACACATATATATACATGTACATGTACACACATACATGTGTGTGAAAGAGAAAGAGAGACTGTATTTACCGTATTAAGGATATACAACAATTTGGCAGAAGCAAGAAAATGGTAGATTTAATACCAAGGAGTGGTACATATAAATTACTTCTCACTGCCTGAGAATTTTGTATTATTTTATAAATTTGAACATTAATATTTTTGTGTGTCCATGTATGTAAATATGTGCTCCCTTTTTGACTGTGTCAACAAAAAGATACTTACAAACAGAAAGACATCATTAGATGAGAAATAAAGATGGATTTGTACAATTCATAGTAACCTGCACAAGATTAATATTATTAGCTTTGGGGATGTTTACTATGTCTTCTTGTATAGAATTTCAAAGCAGCATGCCTATTGGATACCAGCACCAGTGGGAAAGGAGCACTTGGAACATGACTATGGAATGAGAAATTATTTTAGGAGATTAAATGTAAAGATGTCCACATACATAAAAAATTGGCTTAGAAAATTCTGGTTGGCTATACTAATGTTTCTTTGAAAAGGTAATTTTATATGCTCACCTTAGATATTTGGCTGTTGCCCATTAATAATAATATTCATCATATTGAAAATATTTCACTTGTCTGTAAAGCATGTCATCATAAAATGATTTTTCTATAAAGTAATTTAAATTTTTCATACAGTTTTTTGTCAGTCTAAAGTAGTACAAAAAGAATTTATATTAGTAATATGTTATCAATTTAAATCACCAATCCATGCAATTGTTACAGCAATTAAAACTAAATTTTTTTGTTGTTGTTGTTGTTTTTCTGGTACCAGGAATTGAACTCATGATCTTGCACTTGCCAGGCAGGCGCTGTGCCACTGAGCTAAATCCCCAGCCCCTAAAACTAAATTTAAACAATAGAGTTTCATCAGGAGAGAAACATTCTCCAGTTCATCTTTTATAAACAGTCTAAACATAGATCTTACCAAATCTATGCTAAATAATCGAATGCTTATTAAACAGAAATATTTATTTTAATTGGATGGATGTGATGCAAGCACTGAAATCTTGGTGGCATGTTCTATCATTTAATTTTATGTGTTTTCATGCCTCTATGGTGTAGCAATGTGTACAAATATGATAGAAGTTCCTCTGATTTCTTCATTTTCTCTGTACACTGAACAAGGCTTAGTCTAGTTGATGAATGAGTGGCTTTTGGTCCATGATTTACTTTAGTATAAAGAGATCAAAGAACGATGGCCTCAATTAACGCCGCCCTACCTCATCCTCACTCATTCCTTCTTCTGGGCATCCCTGGACTGGAGAACATGCATCTCTGGATTGCTTTTCCTTTCTTTGCTGTGTTCCTGACAGCTGCACTTGGAAATATAAGCATCCTTTATGTGATTCAGACTGAACACACTCTCCATCAGCCCATGTTCTACTTCTTGGCCATTTTGTCATCTATTGGCCTGGATCTGTCCACATCCACCATCCCCAAGATGCTCAGCCTTCTTTGGAGAGAAGTCTGCTTTAAAGGATGTCTCATCCAGATGTTCTTCATCCACCTGCGCACTAGCGTAGGGTCAGCTGTACTTGTAGCTAGGGCTTATGATCTCTATGTGGCCACCTGTAACCCTCTTTGTTTTACATTGGTGTAGACAAACAAGGCTGTAATTGTCATTGCATGTGTAATCCTACTGAGACCCTTGTCTTGTGCCATACCCTTTGTTCTACTTACACTAAGGTTACCATTTTGTGGACAGTAAATCTTCTGACACACTTACTGTGAGCATATGGGTCTTGGCCATCGGCTTGTATCAGCAATAAGGTGAATATCATGCATAGCTTAGGTGCTATTTGTGCACTGATGCTTAACATAATAGCCACAGTCATTTCCTGTGTCCTCATTTTCTGTGCTGTGTTTCAGCCCTCTCCTCATGCTGTTCTTCTCAGAACACTCAGCACCTGCAGATCTCAGGCCTGTGTCATACTGCCTTTCTACACTCCTGTACTTTTCTGCTTTATGACCCATAGATTTGGCCAAAATATACCACTGTACATCTAAGTCCTTCTTGCCAAGTTGTATGTAGTCATTCCACCTGCTCTGAACCTTGTAATTTATGCTGTGAGAACCAAGCAGATTAGAGAACAATGTTGAAAATGTTTTCCAAGAAGTAAAACATAGCTCTCATATATTTGAAAAACAATATTTAAGAAAGAAGCGATAAAAATTTTCTGTGTTAAAAATGGGATGACACACCTGCCTGGCAAGCGCAAGATCGTGAGTTCAGTTCCTGGTACCGGAGGGGGGGGAAAAAAAAAATGGGATGACAACATTTGGGAGGAATGAGGTCTATCTTTGGGGTTGTATGTCAGTTAATATTATTTGACATAGTCAGTCTCTTTTGACCCAGAATTGGAAACATAAGTCTACATAGTACACAAATATACAAATATATTATTTTATACTTTTTCATTGATTTAAAATTATTCAAATCAATGAATATTTAATAATTATTTAATAATTGTTTTATTATTTTGTACTTGGGATCAATCCCAGGGTCCAATAAGATTCACAAACAGCTGAAGTTCTCTCTGCTCAATTTAGCGCACCTTGTATTGTCAGAAAATAAAGGGACTCAAACTCTGAAGTTGGACAATGAGCCAAAATTCATGTAATATCCCTAAAGCAATGATCTCCCTCTCTCCATCTCTGTGTCTGTCTATATCTGTGTGTGTGTCTGTGTGTCTCTCTCTGTCTCTCTCTCACACACACATATCACACAAAACACATACACACACACACTCAAACACACACACACACACACACACACACACACATGCATCTTGCTGTCCTTTTAATGAAAAAGACCAGAAGGAGTGAATGAAAGGAGAAAATTCTTGGCCACATAATTAAGGAGGCAAGGGAATCATTTTCAAAATGAATCCAACAGGAGGTTATTTGCAGTTTTCTCACCTTACTCAATTCAACATTAATTTACATTCACAAACTTTATATTATTGGGAATGAATATCTATTTTTCTTCTAAATAACCTTTCCTTAGGATCCCTACGATAGAGTTTTTTTCCTTATTACCAAGTTTCACCAAATGATCCAGATTATCCCCCAGAAATAATTAGTAGTTAGTTTAGCATGCTGAAAATAATATGTAAATCCAGTAATCCCTTCAGACTGTGACTCCCCAAATATCAACCACCCTGACTACAATGTATATAGTAGTGTCTCAGTTCACAAATTTAATTATTTTCACCACTCAGATTTCAAACCGAATTAGACAAGAACTGATTAAATTCAATGGTTGAGTTCAATATTGAGTTTATAGGGTAACTTGATTTTATTCTCATCTAATTTGGTTTGTAACCAGAATTGAGGAATCATGAAGTTTGTGAATAAAGTTATCACTGTATAAAGAATGTGATAAACTTGTTCCTATATTTATCTCTACCATACAACCTTCCTGTAACCTTGGATAGACCTCTTGATCTCCTTGAGAAGTATTTTCTTCAATAAAATGCAAAAGATAATATTATTTATACTTCTGTAAATGATTATAAGATTCAAAACCATCATCTAGCCCTGAAACTCATTAAGAAAACAATGTAAATCTCTAATAAATCATGACTCTTACTATGTGGAATATATGAAACAAAAAAGCTCTGATTTTTGACTTGTGAATTTGAAGCCCTTGGAGCATAGGACTAATTTTGTCATCAAGGTGCATAAACGTGGGTCTCCCAATCCTACATTTATTCTTTAAAATATTCCCATTAATTAATTAATTAACTTTAATTTTATGAGATTTATTACATTAAACAGTGAGCACCTAACAGGAAAAAAATCACAAAAGTAATTATAATTTTTAAAAAATCATCCAAATTTTTAACATTGATTTCTTTTTGGTGTATAAAGTCTAAAAAAGAACACAAATAAATTATTATATAAAGTATAATGAAAATATCAACAGCATTTTACAAAATAAAATAATCTTTACTTCAATTATCATACTTAAGGCAGTCTGCACACATGACAACAGCATGTTCCATACACACGTATCACTTACCCTGACAGCACATGTGTTTTGCTTTACTGTCATTTCTGTGGGACATACTTGACATGCTCATGCTCTTGCTGTTTTGTCAGGAGGTTCCTGTTGTATTTTACAGTGTGTAGTTAACAGAAAAATAAAATGTCAATAAAATATTAAATTCTTAATATATATTGTGCAGTTAGAATAGATAACAACATCTTCACATCAGCTGTGTGCCTGCTTACAAAAACTAAAAGATAACATCAGAAATAAAAACCTATGTGAACTACAATGTAAACACACACAAAAGTTTATCATAGAGGTAAGCTTTGCTTCAACTGTCACACCCAAGTCAGTCTTCATACATGACAACTGTATGTCTCAAACACAAGTATCATTTATACTGATAGTACATATATTTTGTTTTCCTGTACTTTTTTTGTAGGGCACAGTGGACAATTTTTTTGTTCTCCTGTTATCATAATAGGTCTTTGTGATGCTGCAGCTGCCTGTTTACCTGTCAGCTCACCAGTAGGCTCCAAAATATTTTTATATAGTTCCCTAGGCAGAAACACTTTGTTTTTCCACTGCTATAAATGATTTCTTATGAGCTCCAATCCCTATTCTCTAAGAAAATTTTTCTGTGATATTTTCTTGTTATTTTCTTTGTAAACTATAAAATGATTTATGCCACACATGTTCAAATCAAGTAAAACACAACCATTGGCCAATGCTTTGTGTTGCAAGTGACATTATAGTTGCTGCATAACTCGTCAACACCATCTACTCCACATTTGGTTTTGTTGTTGAAATTTTCCATCTCAGACTTCTGTTTTGTCAAGATTTCCTTGCCAGTGCTTCCATCATGGTGAGATGTTAACATCAGCAGTAGCAGTTTGCTTTTATTTGCCATATATGAGGCCAATGTTATACCTTTCTGAAATTCAAGGATTGCACTGTACAAATCTCTGATTTGAAACTACAGATTTCATTTGGAATTTCTGCTTTGTTACTGTGTACAGTTTCTGTGCTGGTCAACCTGTAACCTGTTAGCCAATGTAACATCAATTGGAAACCAGTAGACCAATTGTTGAGTGTCACATTCTGACTAGTTTAGGAGTGGGAGTGACAAGTCTGTTCACAATATCAGTTTGGTTTATTACTATACAAAAAACTATCTGATGGCTGAGTTCCAAGACAAATGTCTAATACAAATGTGTAAGTTCTTGCATCTATAAGTGTCTGAAGTTTTATGCCATATTTTGAGCCATCATTTTTCCATAAGTTTTTATATTCCTGTAATCACCATGGAAATCTGCACTAAGTAGACAAGACCTGTGAATGCTTTCATTTCAACTAGTGAGGTGACATAATGAATACACCTTTGAATATGGCTATTGGTGCACACGGAACATTTCATCCTTTGTGAATTGTACAGCATGTTGTAATCTTTTGTTTGTTACAATTTCCAGCATTGAGTGGAAGTGCTGGCATGCTTTCCAATAGCGTTCAACCCTGTCAGGAAGTTCACTATATTTTCAGACCTAATGCTAACACTGGATATTTCCACTTGGTTGAATGGCCATTTTGTAACATTTTGACTAGTCAATTATGTACTGATAATGTTGTTTTCTTTGTCATCTTAATCAAGGAGGTCTGCATTCTCTGTGTCTATATCAGTCAATTCTTTCTCTATTTCACTGTCACAGGAACATTGTCTCTCATGTCCAGCATCAAAGTTATCATCATCATCATCATCATCATCGTCATCATCATTATCCACCCAGCACCACTTTCCTGTTATAAAAGCGTTTATCTTACCATAATGGATCATCTTCATCACCCATACACTAGTAATCTAATGATTCACTTTGACCTCCTCCAAAAGTTGCAAATCTGGTTTTTCATGTGCCACTGTAGTGAATTGGGATACTTCTACCACAAAAATCAAAAGGAACCTTTTTTTTTAACAAACCCTGGAGTGGTGTGGGTCTATTGGACCCTCTATGATACTCAGGTAAACACATGCAAACCCAGTTGGCCTGAGCATAAAGGTGTGTTCAAATCCCATTTGACACTTTTGCATGCATGCACACTCCTTGCCATTCCTCAAACAAAGTGGGTGAGCACATAGATTGCTTCTTTCCCTCAGGGAAAGCTAATGAGATGAACAGATGGCTACTATAATGCAAAAGTACAGATTTACAGTAGAAAAGTAAAGAATGGATCTGCTGGATCCAGGCTTATGCCTGCATAAGGGTTGATTTATGTGGGAGGTATCTTGAGAAGGGAGACTTGTGAAAAAAGAAAATGAAGCCTATCTTTCACAAATTGGTTTTAAAGGATATTTACTTAGTATTATCCATAGGACCTGGAAAGCTAGTTCAGAAGTTGGGAGAAAAGTCTAAGGTAAAAATGTATACGTCAAGGTACTTGTCCTTGTAATACTTCTCTGAACCCACAAATTTGATTCAAAGCACATCTATTTAGACTAAGGCCTGAGTAGAGGAGGAGTACCTAAGCCAAATATGCAAAATAAATATCGTAGCTTCTGCGTGGATTTATCATGCCTTTCCAATACCTGATGGTTAACTGCCCTATATTTAGAGTCCAGAGGCTCATTTCATTTCCTTGGTCACAATTATCTCTATGGATTTACTGCATCTGCAAATGTTTACTATTATTCTCACAACAGTTCCAGACTGCTTGCAGTCCCTGGAGAACTCAATGATTGTAGAGCGTGATTAGAAAAACAGGAAAGCCCCCTTATATCAGAAGGAGCCTTTAGTGGAAGAGAAATTCAATGATCTCTTGGACTTTTAAAATAGGATTTTTCAACTCCTCTCAAAAGTGTCCAACAGAATATACATTTTGGTAAGTACCAAGATAAAGACTCTCTCTTTGACTTTCACTTTATTTCTGATTTTGGCAATTAGTCACATAGAGCTCCATTCAAAGCAAGAAGAGTCATCCAAAAATCATGCAGCAAAGCAAAATATTCTTTTCTGAGATTATGTAAGTAATTCATGTACCTTTTGGGAGTTTATCTTTCAACAGCTTTCAGATTCTCCTAAATTATGATACTGACCACTTCATGTTATTTTTTAGTCTGAACACAGAACAACTGGTCAAAATTCTAGACCAAGGAAATATAAAACAAAATCTGTCAATAATCTCCATAGTTACTACTCTTTCATTTATAGAAATGATTTGAAAATAATGAGGCTTTTAAAAAGAGGTTTAAATATCAACAGTTTCACATGGCTAGGGTTAAAACATAAAATTATTTGACTTTCAGACCCTACATTTGTAGGAGTCACAAGAATTAGGAAGGCACTTTGATACCTTTGCCGGTGTACAGTGTCAATCTAGAAATTATATTTTCCATCTGACATTTTATATAGTATCTGAAAGCAAGAAATAATAGAAAATTCCAGGTTATTTGCCTTAAGTTTAGTAATATGGGGAAAAGGAAACCAGATTCATATCTAAATACAAATTTTAAATCTAATTTTTCTATAAGAAAAGATGTGCAGATATAATTTCTGCAAATTATGATGTAGGGAGATTCTAGTCCAAAGTGACATACACTTTTCTCCATATTACTACACCATGAATTTGCTTGTTCGCCAAAACAGAGTTGAAATAAGCCATGAATTTCAATATTTCCTTTCTCTACCAAATTTCCAGATATTCCTATTTTAATAACACAAGTATATATACATTTCCCTGCAGCAGTCTGAATGAATGATGCCTATTACCAACACATCACATTTCTCTTGGTTGGGATGCCAGGGCTGGAGTATGCACATGTCTGGATCTCCATCCCTATCTGATGGCCATTCTGGGAAACTGCACCATCCTTTTTATCATCAAGACAGAGCCTTCCTTACATGAGCCTATGTACTATTTCCTTTCTATGCTGGCCTTATCTGACTTGGGTTTGTCTTTATCTTCTCTGCCCACGATGTTGGGGATCTTCTTGTTTAATGCTCTTGAAATTTCTGCCAGTGCCTGCTTTGCCCAGGAATTCTTCATCCATGGATTCTCAGCACTGGAGTCATCAGTCCTCCTGATTATGTCATTTGACCGCTTCCTAGCCATCCACAATCCTCTGAGATACAGCTCCCTCCTTACATCTGTCAGAGTTGCTCAAATAGGAATGGTATTCTCCTTTAAGAGCATCCTCCTGGTCTTTCCCTTCCCCTTCACTTTGAGAAGCTTGAAATATTGCAGTAAACGCCAGTTGTCTCATTCTTACTGTCTCCACCAGGATGTCATGAAGTTGTCCTGCTCTGACAACAGAATCGATGTCATCTATGGCTTTTTTGGGGCTCTCTGTCTTATGGTAGATTTTATGCTTATTGCTGTGTCTTACATCTTGATCCTCAAGACTGTTCTGGGAATTGCATCTCAAAAAGAGCAGCTCAAGGACCTCAATACTTGTGTTTCACACATCTGTGCAGTGATCATCTTCTATCTGCCCATCATTAACCTGGCCATTGTCCATCACTTTGCCCAGCATGTCTCTCCCCTCATCAATGTTCTCATGGCAAATATTCTCTTACTTGTACCTCCACTGATGAATCCAATTGTCTACTGTGTGAAAACTAGGCAGATCAGAGTGAGAGTTGTGGCAAAATTGTGTCATAAGCAGATATAACAGTGATATGTAATAAAAAACAGTGGGAGATCTTTGTAAGTGATTTAAGGTGAGTCTGAGAAAACCTGACAGTTGACAGAAACAGATGATGTCTATTCCAAAATGATGGTGTAGGTGTGCATAAAAACTTTATTACAGTAAAAGACACATTGTCATTAATCCCCACCAAAATACTTCACCTCACTCTAAAACCCACTTAATCCCATTCTTCTTGTCACTTTCTGAAGCAGTTGTAGAAATCGTTTTCCATGGGTGTCTTTAGTTGTGCTGTCATGGCTGCCTCAACGTTCTGAATTAATTCAAAATTATTTCTTTCATGTCATTTTGATTTTGAGGAAGAGCCAGAAGTTTCACAGTGTGACTGTGTAGCTGCACAGTACCAGACTGTGATGCACTCACAAGCCTGACTTTCTCTTGTATGTCACTGGGCAACAACATTCACTGTACTTTAATTGTACCTTATAAAGACACTCACAAAAGAGCACTTACAGAACTGCTTCAGAAAGTGGCAAAAATAATGAGATAAGTGAGTACAAATTGAGAAGAAGTATTTTGAGGGTGGCTAATGTCAATATGGCTCTATTGTAATAAAAACATTCACTTGTTTTTATCACACATTTCAGACACGTACTACTGCTATCATCATACTATGATTTTCTTCACTCTGGAAGCTGACAAAGTCATAACACTGGAAGCAAGAAGTACATTGGCTGAGATCCCTGGCTCACTTAACAAGAATGAAAATAAATGCTTTACCAATCACCTCTGATAAAACCAGGGAAGACAAAAAAATGGTAATGCATATAGTTCTGACAGAAGCACACTCTTCCTTCCTTATATTCAGCATATTATACTAAATCCCTTGGATGTTAGGCCTAAATTATATCTCAATTCTGTGCCTTCTCCATTTTAATCAACTTTTTATGTCACTAAAATTTCTGTAGCAAAACACTACAAGAATTTTCTAGGATTGTAGTTTTCTACTCTTCTTACCATCTCATTAATCCTCTAGTAAGGTAAGAATCATTTTTACAAGGCAAATTGGATGTTCAAATGCATCTTTGACATATAAATCTACTTCTTGGAGAACAGAATTAAATAAGTAAACACTATATATGAACTAGACCATTTCTGCCTCTTCAGTATCATAAAAGAATCATCAAACTACAACCTCAATGGTCTGAAAATGTGTTTCATTTACAAAGTCCTCTGTTTTGTATCGGATCCCTTCTGTTAAAATGTTGTTGACTCTAGTATCATGCTGTGTCTAGTACCATGTTGACTCATTTCTCCTTTGTTTTCCTAAAATTTCTTTTGATTTAGTCCTAAATTATCTAAAACTCAACTCATATAATTACCCTCTTTTTATCTTTCTTATTGCTAAGTTGTTCTTTATACTTATTATTTGCAATTAAAAGTATATATATTTTTGTTTATTTTGTGACTGAAATATGCTACCAGTGATTGACACTATCAATAGATTTTATTCATTTCTACAAAACTAGTGTTTGGGACATTTCTGATGCAGGAGAATTTGAATAATAGTTAATAATAGATAAATGCATAATGATGTGTTTGGAGAAAAGAAATTGCTTATTGGAGAGTACAGTTATATTCTATTAAAATAGGATAATTTTTAAAGCTATATATTCTAAGTTTTGGCTTATCACAGATGCACAAAGATTTTTAAAATATTGAAATAGCGCTTGATATTAAAAGACAACCATATTCTGTTTTTCATGGATAACAAAAAGTCCAATTTCCCCACCTAAGTTGAGATCAAAATCTTACATATCATTTAAATGCATTTAAGCCATTTGTACATTTCACTGAATTAAGTCTTTCCCAAAATGACATCAACTCAAGTCTCCTCCCTCTCTATTCTTAGCTAAGTGGATAGACAACTTCTACAAGTATCAAATGCTTAAAAGATAATGATCAACCCCAAACTGGGTAATATCCTACATTTATGAAAAAATTTTGACTGATGTGAACATTGTTTTAAAACTACTGATATATGCAAGAAATGCTTACAGGTACTTTAAGCTATATATATATAATATATAAATATATATTATATATATATATAATTTTTGCTATTTTTTTATTTAAAAAATAAAATAAACAGTTTTAAAACAGACTAGTATAAGAACAATAATTAATACATTCTGTATGGTTACAATACATTATTATTATTATATTTGTAGTAGCTATGCAGAGTACAAGATATAGGCATACAATATTGTCCAAACATTACTAGCATAAACCTTTCTTTTCAATGAGCTAAGAGAAACTAGCTTATAACTATCTTATGTGTAGGCCATATATTTTTATCTGATTCTCACAGTGACCCAGTGGCTCATAAAGCATTCTTGCCTATTTCTTTCATTTGAAGGGACAGAAGCAATAAGAGATTGATTTAATGAATTTCACACAAAAAAAAATGTAAAAAGCTGACATTCAAACCATATAATTTATATCCAGATTTTTTTCCTTGGCTATATTTTAGCTTTCAGATTCAAGATTCCGTGTTTCCCACAAGCTTAACTCACTGTAGAAAATCCTAACATCAGATAGAGACAAAAAGAGTTTCTGGATTTGAGGTACGTAATCACAGCCTTTTACCTTTTCCATCTTTCAACACTCTGGTCCCCCCAGGGTGTCGGTGTTGTAGCACATATGCAGTAGCATAAGCAGTTTATTAATTGGAGGAAATGGAGGCTCACATTTACTCAATGTAAGGATAGGTAGCACAAACTGAGGCGATCAGTAATGTCCACTTTCATTAGAGATAATTAAATGCTTTGCCAGGCATCTAATGTCTGGAGGACATTATACAGTGATGTCATGTACAACATTCTCAGAAAAATGCATATTGTTTGACACACTTGATAAAATGAAATGAATGCAAAATTAAGAAACAAACATGCCAGTGGGAAGGGTGATTTTCTAATGTAAATAATGATTTCTGCAAGTTCCTACAATGTAGAGCGTAGTTCTTAAGGAATGAATGTTCAGCTCTAGCTTTTATAAGAATGATTCTCAGTTGAAGACAAACTTGCCCCCAAGAGACACTCAGCCATGTCTGGAGACACTTTTGGTTGTTGCAGCTTGGAAAGGTAAGGTGGGGAGTTGTTACTAACATCATGTTTACAAGTCAGGATAAATGTTCATGATCCTTCAATACACAGGGTAGTACTTAGAAAAAACTAATCCAGTCCAATTGACTATGCCCAAGTAAAGAAATGCTAGTCTAAATACAATTATCAAACAATGCACAATTAAGCCCAGTAATTACCTAAGTTATCTTAACTAAATTGCACAGTACCTAGGTATAATCTGTCACCAAGAAAGTTCCTCAGAAAAGCACCCAATGGAAAATTTCTACAAAAGTGAAAGAGTCCATTTAAGAAATGAAATGACAGGAGACTGCATATAAACCTTACAGTGAACAATATTTTAAACTTTGCAATTAAATTTTGCTAACTGTTGTGGTGAAGGTTCTAGTTTTGTTATGTTATATTTTATTTTGACTTTCTGTGTAACTGGTCATTTGTGAGTGATTTATGGGGAAACACTGCAGAGGATACAACACTAGAAAAATTCAAATAGACCAAAAGAAGAATTATTTCTTAGATGTGTTGTATGTATGATTTAGGCTGGGAGACAATTTTCATCAGTCATGTTCTGCTTCTGGGTAGCAGTATTAAGAGGAATGTATTTTAAGTTTAAAAATTTGCAGCAAAAATGCTTTCCTTATTTTCAAGCTTTTCCTTTGCAGAGAAAGCTAGTCTTCTTGCAAGCAAACCAAACATGATTCAAAGATTTGCTTCCATGTATCAGAACAATAAAATACTTAAGAAAAATGTTAATTAAGTGTAATTCTTAGACTTTCAATAGAACATCACTGTGAGCATATAGTGACCTATGATTCACTCAAATACTCATATTCTAGTGAACAAAAATGCACACTTGAGGCAACTCTTCAGTGATTTCTTTGTTCACTAAAATTTAAGATGTGCTTTATTAAAGCACTTCATTTTGGCCAAGAGTATAATCATTTGCATGTGTTTCTGTATTAATAGAAATAAGAAAGCCTAAAAGATTGCAGACAAAAAGTAAAAAATGAAATACATTTTTAATTATCCTTTTCCCTTATTTAATTAAATCATAAGGTTATTAAATCAGATAAATTTCATATTACATATATATACAGTCAAGACATTAATGACTATTATGACTAGTTTTGTTTGCTGTCCCATGCTCTACTCATATTTGTTGCAAAAAACAGAGCATCCTCTGCCTATAAGTTCAAAGAAGCACACATCTACACAGGCTAGTGGCTATTGACTGAATAAATGGGATTGATATGAGACTACAGAAGCAAGTGATAAAGTATGAGCATACATGCTAGATTTAACCAAGAAGAGGTTTATTATGTGAGTGTGTGTGTGTGTGTGTGTGTGTGTGTGTGTATAAATTCTTACCAATTAATGTGGAAAAGGCATAACCTAATAGAAAGTGGACAAAAGACTCAAGTAAATGCTTCATAAAGAAGAAATGTTCATGGTCAATAAATATATGAACAAGGGAGAATAGTTTCAAGTTAGTATGCAGTACTGATGATCTGATCTCTCTTAACACTTAGGACTCTATACCAACCAGCTGTCCTGCCTCTGGATGAACTAGAAAACCATAGCTAGAGAAAAAATGAGCAAAATCCAAAGGTTGATGAATAACTGTTCCTTAGTCTGAGCTGTTTTATGAGTTCAGTCCCCTATGTGTGTCCCATGAGTCAAACATTGAAAGGCTTTCCATGAAGTAGGGTGTTATTGTTCAAGTAGTTCTCACCAGTAAGTATTCCCAAGTGTCCTTCTAGGGGTCATAAGACAGTACTCACAAGAAGACAAGGGAAGTCTAGTCTAAAAGGTTCTTCCCTGCTTCATGTCCCATTCTACTGTTGATCTCATGGTAGAAACTCACACTGATTCTTTTAAAAT